GCCAACATGTCTAAATCCTTTATCTGAGGATTTGTATCTAATTCAGAACCCATCAATGCTGCAAAAATTACCCCTTTTCTTTAAGTGCATTTCTTTATGCATGACTCCATTGCAATCTCTCTTTCCTACCTATTTCCCATGACAAATTCCAAAACGAAATCGCTGTGGAATCCACTGGAGTATTTGTTATATACACGTTGGTTAAGTGAGATTATTTGACCTAATCCAGAGCTTTTTTTGGCCTATGAGCATTTGATCCTTGTTCAGAGCTGGATAATTGTGGTCGATGGGATTTCTGCTCAATGGGATTTCAAACTCCATTACTCTAATATAGTCCCTTTTCCTGGTCCTTACTGATCATTCTCTCCGGCTAATTTTAATCCAAGTGAAACTCTCTGCTGTGAATTTGGGACCAAACTTTTCCAATAATAATATTTTCAGAAGAAAACAATGGAGGGATTGTCCAGAATTATTTGAAAATTAGATTCTTTCCGGAAAAATATAATTTGACCACATTTTACTTCTCTGAAAAAGAAATTGTTAATGTTACAGTGTGACAAAGTCACTGTTATTCACGTTTCTTATTGTTAAGGGAAAATTCTCAGAGAAGAACCCTAGTCCTTCGTTCTCAGCTGACCTGTCTGGGCCAATCAGCAGAAAGCACTAGCTAGGACCACAGACACTGAGACCTGACTCTGAGCAAGAAGCCAGCCGGGCACTGGGCAGCGGGCACCATGACCGCTGCATCCGCTGCAGCAGAACGGACGCTCACGCCACTGCCACTTTCCTCCACGGACCTCACCTCCTTGGGTTATTCATTCCCATTGGAAATCTGAACCTAAATCGAACCTCAGTTACGAGGACAAGGGAAGTTTCACCTGGCCTTCTTGGATTCTGTATTGGGATAAATCAATAGAGTAGAGGTTTGTATGGTAGGGAATTGCTCAAACATACAGGTAAGGAGTTCAGGAGGTGCCGTGACACCAAAACAAGCCCACTGTATTTGGCCCTGACTTAGTTCACTGCTGTTGCTTCAGTGGCTTCAGGGCTTGCCCTGTCACTCATAAGAGATGTAGGCTGAGAGTGAGAATTTTGGCCTCCGGTGGGCCTATTGTCCTAATTCGTTCTTCTTTCTTTTCTGTGTTGTGGATTCTTGGAAGCACACAACTAGTAAATCACATGTTTTCAAGTCTAACATTAAAATAAGTGTGCAAAGCAATGTGATCAGATGAAGGGGTCATTAAAACACTAATGTTTGGTCATACCTGGCAGCATGGAAATGGGGCCAGCCGGGGTGTCAGGAGGCATCCCGGCTCAGTCCCTCGCTCCCTGTGTCATCAAGCCCTTCCTGTCTCTGCTTCAGGAAAGGGCTGGGCTCCGAGGAGATGGTCTCCAGGCCTCCTTCATTCTCTGAGCGTCTGTGATTTTCAAGTCACAGTGATGTTTGCTGAGGGAGTGGGTTGCATCACCTGGGATGATGGTGTGTTTTGTTCTTTTGTGGGGACTGAGGTGGCAGCTGTCTTTGGCATAAACTGAGCTGTGTCAGTGCAATGGAGCTGATGGGCTGAACCTCAAAAGCAGACCCCAGAGAGAGATTGATTCTGACAGTACAGCAGTTCCAGGGAGGCCTTGGTGCCTTGTGAGGTAAGACATGTGGGTGCTTGGGACACCGCTGGTCCAGTCTTCAGTGTAACATGTGATTTCATTGCTATGGACAGAGAGGCTCTGGGTTCAGACCGTTCTTAAAAGGAACTGGAGATTAAGTCTGCAAAACTGAAAACCTACACAGAAATTTTCAAATCGATTTTTATTTTTGATGATTACTAATAGTAAAAATGACTATCTCTGTTTATTTTTTTTACTTCTGAAGCCGATCGATTTGTTGGAAAATCAGATCAGTCAAAATCCAATTTTGATGTTATGCAAATACGCCTGGGGCTGTGAAGCAGCTGGTGGCTCTTATACCCACTCTTCCCCAACACCTCCTGCCAACATTTTCTTCTGCGTTTGATCCTTTTGCTCTTGTCTTTTTCATATTTTTCCTTCAGTATGTCCCATACTGTCTTTGCTCTTTTAAAATATGCATATTTCTATCGTTCCATTGAAAGAAACCGGAATATTTTACCCTAAAATATGCTTCTTTGGCATATTTCGAGATCGGTATTCAGAGGGGCTAGAGAACACAGGAATAGCTCTGAAAAACTGTCCTTTGTGAGGCAGATTTGCATCTGTAGGGAAAATCTGCTCTAGGGAGGTAGACAGACCATGCAGATAGGCTCGGAGGCCCCCTTGTCTTCCTTATCTGGATCTAGGAAAGGTTAACTCATGGGAAAAAGAGGCTAAAGTCTGACACTGCTCAAGGTCTGATAGAGACTTTTACCCCATTCCCACCTGCTCCTCCTGAGGGCAGCTCCAGGGTTACAGCAGATTTTATCCACATGACAAGACACCATGTGCTCACCAGGCTGACCCGCCTTCACTCTCCCATAACCTTGTCGCCTCCTTCCCCGGGGAGCCCCTAGCCCCTGTTCCCTCCATAGCCTGGAATGGGAGCTAGTCTAAAAACTTCAGCCATCTGACCCTTCTTTGAGTCTCATGTTTGTGGGACTCCCGTGCCCATGTGCATGTCAGTAAATTCACATTCTCTTCTGGCTGTTAAGCTGTCTGTTGTCAGTTTGTTTTATGGACTCAAATTATCAAACCTTCAGAAGCTGGAGGGAAGAAAATTCGCTTCACCTCTACACTATCTATTCCAGATTTAACATCCATGAGTGAGGTGCTGAAGGGCCCGGGTCTCTCAGTATCTTGGAGAATAATGAAGTTTGACAAGCTCCATCCCTGCTAGTGGGTGGGCTCCAGTCCAGGAAGCAACTCCCAGAGCCTTTGCCCCAACGTGGCAGTGGTACTGTCTGGTGTATTTCAGCCCATCCATCCTGCCTCCCCCAGGCTCACACTCACGGACGTTATGATCCCACAGCAAACCCTCTCACCACACATCGCTCTGGAACACAGGACAGCACCAGGCAATCCATTTCCTAAGTATGACAAGGCTTTTCTCTCTCTTCTTTCTTCCCCCTTCTTCCACAGCACAGCAGACACAGTGCCTTCCCTACTCTGTACCTGATTATCTCTTTCTTCCTGCTCCTCCATGGCTAGCATCCTTAGAAAAGTCAAGACCAGTCACTTCACTAGCTCTCAATGGTAATCGGAGTGTTCAAACTACAGAAGAATATATTATATAGTTCCCTATTCTTGTTTCTTTCGAGGCTATAATTTTCTTGTTCACTTGCTCAAGGTTTCTCCCCTTTCTCATTGTGGGAAAATGTAAATAACATAAAATTGACCATTTTAGCCATTTTTAAGTGTACAGCCATAAGGCCTTAAATGTATTCACATTCTTGGGCTACCGTCTCCGCCATCCATCTCCAAAATTTTTTCACCTTCCAAAACTAATACTGTGTACCCATTAAACAAGAGCTGGCCACCTCCCCCTAGCCTCTGGCAACCACCATTCTACTTTCTTTCTCTGTGAGTTTGACTTCTCCAGGTACTTCATTATGATTGGAATCATACAGGATTTGTCCTTCGGTGTCTGGCTTACTTCACCGTGCACGCTGTCCACAAAGTTCATCCATGTTGTGATATGTGCCAGGATTTCCTTCTTTCTTAAGGTTGAATAATGTTCTATGATATATATGCACCACATTTTTTTTACCCGTTCATTTGTCTGTGGACCCTTGAGTTGTTTCCACCTTTTGGCTATTGTGAACAAGGTTGCTGTGAACATGGGTGTATAATCAAAGTCCTTATTAGTAAAATCGAATCTATGGGAGTGCTGACATTGCTCTGGGGAGTAACTACCATTGATTAATGTTTGCAAAAAGGAAATGTTGCAGAGCTCTCTAGTGGATGTTTTAAATTATTCTCTCCTTTGCCCCTTAAAGACACATGGTGCAATTCTAGAACATTAACAACTTCCAAGTTCCTTCATAGCTGGATATTTTCTTTAACTTCTTTATTCTTCTGTACACTCAGATTAGTTTCTTAAAGCAATTGAAATGCTCCAGTTTACTTTGATGCTCAAAGATTTCTAGTATAAGCAGGAGTAGAAGAAATTAACTTAGCACCCAATCTAACATTTTATATAAAATACAAAAATAATTTGGGAGGCCGAGGCGGGTGGATCACGGGTCAGGAGATCGAGACCATCCTGGTCAAGATGGTGAAACCCCTTCTCTACTAAAATAAAAAAAATTAGCTGGATGTGGTGGCATGTGCCTATAATCCCAGCTACTCATGAGGCTGAGGCAGGGGAATCGCTTGAACCCAGGAGGCGGATGTTGCAGTGAGCCAAGATCGCACCACTGCACTCCCAGCCTGGAGACAGAGCAAGGCTCTATTTAAAAAAAAAAAAAAAGTTATTGTAACCACCTGATGGGATCTTCTTGCCCACTGCACAGACAAAACCAATTCACTGAGACGATGGCATTGCAATAGTGTAATTGACACAAGACTGGCCACAGCACGTGGGAGATAGAGTTATTGCTCAAGTCAATCTCTGCCAAAATTTGGAGACTAGGTTTTTTCTAGGATAGTTTGCAGTCCAGGAGGTCTCCTTGTGAGTGAGGCCATGTAGCTGGTTGGTGGGTCCAAGTGGAACCATTGGTGATCAGAAGTGCAAAAACCTGAAAAGACATTTCAAAAGGCCAATCTTAGGTTCTAGTATACAATAGTGTTGCTATCTGCAGAAATAATTGAGCATGTTGCAAATCTTGTTTCCTTCAGGATAATGGCTGATAATCGCGCACATCCGTACCTTAACAGAACTCAGGTCCCTCACTCTCCTAACTTGTGGTCTTTTATTAGCTTTGCAAAGGCTGTGTAGGTTTGGCAAGGGCTGTCATGCCCAGGAAGGACTAAAGGCAGTTTGGAGGTTAAAGGCAAGGTGGGGATTGATTAGATACGTTCTCTTTCACTGCAATCATTTTCTCACTGTTACAGTTTTTGCAAAGGTGATTTCATTATGATGGCTTCTTGGGTTTAATTTCACAGATACAAATGTCCACTTACTTTTTTGTTTACTGACACAACATAAAAAAGTATTACAATAAGCAGAATTAAAAAACAAAGAATAAGCAGAATTAAAAAACAGAATAAGCAGAATCTTAAACTCATAACATTTTAGATCTGAAAGGAATCTTAGAGGCAGTCTGTCCTAACCTCTTTATTTTATAGTTGAAGAAACCCATACAGCTTAAGTGATTCCCTTTCTTTTATTCTATTTATTAATTCATTCATTTGATAGTTACTATCAGCTATGTATAATGCATCATGTTCAATACTATAATACATACAAACATTTCTTATAGTTTGTCCTACTCTTAAAGAACCTGTTTTCTAGCAAGGCAGAAAACCTAGGCATTGGAATTCAACACATATGGAGTCACTCCTATGTTCAGGCCCATGTGCTAGGATGTTGAAGAGGACACCAACATGAACGGAGGGCATCCGCACGCTCCCGAGTGCACACGGCTATAAGGCAGCAAGATAAACACACACTGCACTGTTAGAAAGGGCCTGAGTGGGGCACCGGAAAGCATTTGTCCTCAGCAGGCAGAGGTGAGACCACTGAGTGGAGTGTGATCACGTCCTGAAGCCGTCAGGGTGAGACTGTGGGGCAGTCCGGAGGCAGTTGTGAGTGGAGGCGGTCTTAAAGATTCTCTCGTGGGCTCTCTCGTTAGGCTGTAGAGATAGAGACACACGGTTCTAATCCTGGTTAAACCTCTGGATTCTCACTGTGACATCCAAACAATACTGAGCCTGCCACACAGGGTTCTTGTGAGGATAAGAGGAGATAACGTCTGTAAGTGCTTCCGAGGCCCTGGAACATAGCAGAATTCCATAGATGTTAGCCACGGTGACTTCTCTACTGTGAAGAGCTTTGCAAGGCCAACCAAAGCAAATGGAGTGAAATATACTTGATTCAATAGAAAATGGGTAGCCACAAAAGGATTTTATACAAAAAAGTGATATATTAATAAATACACTTAAAAATTAATCTGGGCCAGGTGCGGTGGCTCTCACCTGTAATCCCAGCACTTTGGGAGACTGAGGTGGGTGGATCACTTGAGATCAGGAGTTCGAGACCAGCGCGGCCAACATGGCAAAACCCTATCTCTACTAAAAATACAAAAATTAGCTGAGCATGGTGGCGCATGCCTGTGATCCCAGCTACTTGGGAGGCTGAGGCAGGAAAATTGCTTGAACCTGGGAGGCAGAGGTTGCAGTGAGCTGAGATCGCACCATTGCACTCCAGCCTGAGTGACAGAATGAAACTGTGTCTCAAGAAAAAAAAGGAAAAGAAAGAGAAAAAAAACTAATCTGGCAGAATTGTGGAGGAATGAGTGGAATGAAGGAAGGCAGGAGGTGGAATGAGTGTCAGGAGGAAACTGCAGTAGCTCAAGTGGCAAGTGAGTGATGGGAGCCTCATTACATCCAATGGAGTAACAGTAACAATAAATTATATAGACGTTCAGGACGTAAAATTGTCAGGCGGAGGAGGAGGACAGAAGCACAGACTGGGTGGAAGGAAGGGGAAAAAGCAAAAATGAACACTTGGCACCCAAGTGAGAGACTGAGAGGAACATGAAAAGATAAATTGGAGGTTGGGGGATGATACCAATTTTAAACATTTTGAATCGAAGAGACCAGCAGAGATATCCAATACGCAGGCCACAGCAGAGTTAGGTGCAAGAGCGTGATGTCCCAGAAGCAGTAACTGGACTTCATAACTATGAAATCACTAATGAATTTGAAAAAAACAGCAGAGGCGAACATGCAGACCAGATTAGAAATGATTTAGAATGCGTGAATGGTGAGGCATCGGAAGCAGTCTTTAAAAAACAAAAAAAAAATGTGGAAAAAATCAAGTAGGGTGGGAGAGAAAGGGAGC